GACAGTGCCAGGGAAGCAAATTCCCTTTGGATCCCCCAAGAATAATCTAACAATAGTGTGATTTGTGTGGCCCATAGCAGGGTCTAGAGACTAGAAAGTAAGAGGTGGAACAGGAGGGCTCCTATAACCAAGACCCTATACCAAATCTCACTTATTGCTCTTTCTGCTGCCAAGAAATTTTGATCTGGGAACTCTGGGGGACATTGATATCTCTCTCTCTCTCTCTCTCTCTCTCTCTCTGCATTTGTAGGGTCCTAGGCAGAGGGAGGGGGAGTTTCTCGGCGCACAGGGACTGGAAGCAGGCAGCATGTGGATGGGAGAGACAGTCAGTTGAAGTGTAGAACTGGTCAGTCACCTAAAACTCCTTGGAGATAAACTGTAAATGTGGTCTCATTGAAGAGAGGCCAACATTGAATTTGTCATCAGATTTTGCTATCGAATAACTCCAAAATTTGGGCAACCACTTTGTCTCCTCAGGCTCTATTTTTTATCTCTTCATCAACTGGAAAATAAGAGACATGAGTTAGAGAATCTCAGAAGACCTACCTTCTTGGTGTAAAAGTTAATGAATTTATAGCTTGTACCTGTTGAGTAATTACCACATGTCAGCACAGTTCTAAATACTTTCCCTGAAATCCTCACAACCATCCTTGAAATATCATTTTACAGGAGAGAAAACTAAGAGGCTGGGGCTTAAATAACTTGACCCAGATCATGTGACTAGTTTGGCAGAACCAAAATACGAACCTAAGTTCCTAGACTCCAAAACACATGGTCTCAACGTCTAGGCTGCTTTGCTGCCTTGTTGCAATCACAAATTATACATGAAGTATTGAATAACAAAATGCATTAAATATGGTCTGCCTACCTTAAGACTATGCTTAGCATTTATCCCTGTACTTTTAAGGTTCTTTTCTGGGCACTCAAGTGATAAAACAGTTCTTCTCCTGTGTTACTTCTCTATAACTTGCCCATCCAACCATCCATCCACATTTTCATTCAAAAATATTTATTACGTGAATACAAAGGTGAAAATGTAGCATTTTAACAGTCCCAGTAACCTGACACTTTGTATTTTCAGATGGTGTCACTCATTACCCCCAGCTTAATTTCATTTTCTCTGACTTACAATAGGTCAATGATTTTATTATCCCAGTGTTATAGGTAGGGGTGCTCAGTCAACAAAACTCATGAGACTGTGCATAATTACACAAAGGGAAAGTGACTGCTGTGGTTTGGGTGTGGTTCATCCCCTAAAGGTTCATGTGTCAGAGGCGTGGCCCCAGCTTGGCCATGTGAGAGATGCCATGGAAGCATTAAGATCTGGGGCTTAGTGGGAAGTCACTGGGTCATCATGGTCTCTGCCCTGGAAGGAATTAAGGTTCTTGTGGGTCCTTGTAACTTCTCTGAGAGTGAGTTGTTATGAAAGCATATCTGGCCCCTGCCCAGTATCTCTCTGGCTTCCTGTCCCTCCATTTGATCTCACCCTTCCACAGATGCTGATGCCACCCACCATGTGGCCCTCACCAGAGCCAAGCCAATGCTAGCACCAGGCCCTTGAACCTCCAGAATTGTGAGCTAAAACACTTCTTTTCTGCAAAAACACCTGGGTTCAGGTATTTCATTATAGTAACAGAAGATGAAATAATACAGTGAGCAAATCTCAGTTACTTTTAGCTAGTCAGCTGTCTCAGAAAACAAGCTTCTTTTTAAATAGATATTAATATTAATTTTATGAAATATTGGCCTTGATTATGGCATTTTCATACATGTATTTCACATAGTTTGGTCTTACCAATTTCTCCTCAGAAAAGTCTTTTATTGCAGATATTTTAATTAGCAATTAGTATCTTAGATTAAAATGATACTTTATTTTATGTTTTATAGTATTTTAATATTTGTTCCTTCATATGGTTCCCAACTTAGGTGTTATACAAAATTTGATGGTAAAAGTCTTCTTCCCTCTGTTCCTTAAGCCTCCCAATTCTCCTCCCCACAAATAATTAATATTTTTGGCTTCTTGTGCATTTTTCCAGAGATATCTTATAAATTTTATCAAATAACATATATGTATGTTTTTGTGTATTTCCACCTTTTAGCAGATCATAAGCAGTAACATACCAGAAACACAGTTGTATATTTTTATTTTTTAACTTAGCATAATTTTGAAATAATTTTTTAATCTTTTGTAGATGCTTGGCATTCCATCGTATGAATTTACAAAACTTATTTAGTCCCCTATTGATGGATCTATAGATTATGTTTAATATGTTGTCATTCTGTGTAACTCTGTAGTTAATAACTTTGCACATAGTTCTTTATTTTAAAAAAATTGTGAATATATATATTGAAGGAAAATTGCTGTTGAAAGTGAAATTGCTAGGTTAAAAGTTAGGTGTACCAATATCAAAGAACATATGTAATACCTTAATCTTGGTTTCTAAATATTATTTTCCACCTAAAGGAACCAGGGGTCCTTGGTAAATGGCTGATTCCAGGATAGATGGAGGGAAGGCAAAAGAGGAACCTGGAAGACCCCATTGTGCCAGAAAGTAAGAAAGTGCTCAAAGAAAAATAAGAACACATCAAACGACATAGAAGCCAGCTGCAAGGGGTTTCCACTGTTCAAGTGTGGAAAATTTGTGTACCAAAATAAATAGTGATAGTAATGTAATGTAACCCATTAAATCCTTAAGTCCATACTAGTATAAACAGGACATTTCCATAGTCACAGAGTACTTACAGGAAAATATTTACCAATTACAAAAGGAAAAATTGAACCCTGGCAGACACCTCTCTAACCAAGGGATCAAAGTAGCATCAGCAGTCATAGGATGCTCAATGTATCAAGAAGGACCCAACATTACTTCTCTGGTACTTTTACCAAAAATCCAAACCATGGATCTGATCCTGAAGGCATCAGACAAAAGAAAAAATGAGGGCTATTCTACAAAGTAATCTGATCAATGCTCTTAAAAAATATCAGGGTCCTACACACATGTGTAAATACCGAATAGTTTCTCTGGAGTGAAAAACTGAAAGTGTAAATAAGGATTAAAATGTATAATGGATCATTTGAAATAGGGAGAAAAGGTCGAAAGGGGAAGGGAAAGTAGGAGGGGTAGGGAGAAGGAAAGAAGGGAAAGGAATTAATATGAGAAAAGAAAAAAACAAAAACAAAGTCTTTATAAAGAAGGAGGGGTGGAGGGGTTGAAGGGAGAGCAGGGGAATAGGTTAAAAATAAGAACCAAGATACATCATGTAAAGGTACAAGTACCCAATGATGAATGTCATATTGTATACCTAAAATTTATCAATAAACTTAATGAATAAAAAAAATATATATCAGGGTCTAAAAGACTGAAGAATTATTCTGTATTAAAAGAGATTAAAGATGTGGCAACTCAGTGCATGGAATTATTGGATTCAATCCTGAAAGAGAAAAAACTTTCAGTTTGCTATCAAAGACATTAATGGGACAATAGATAAAGTTTGAATTAGATAGGTAGGCTGTAATATTATACTGATGGCAATTTACTAGTTTGAGCAACTTTTCTGTTTATATAACAGTGTCTTTGTTTTTAGAAAATTTTCAGAGATAAAATCATTGGAAAAATAATATGTACACGTATACATGCATATAAGTACAGGTATACAAAGAGTGGAAGAGAGCAGAGAGGGAGATTGAGAATTATTATAATGCAAATATGAAAAAATGTTAACATTTGACAATCTTGATATACAGGAATACTTTTCACTATTTTTGCAACTTTTCTATAATTTCGAAATTATTTCTAAGTTCAAAGAAAATATATGTACATTTGAAATTTAGATAGATTGCTTGCTAGAGAAACTGCATGTATACATTTTCTCTTCCACCACCAGCAGGAACATACAAAAGTGGCACTTCATGTTTACAAAATGCATTCACACTTTACACCAGGAGACTTCATTACTACTTTGAGAAATAGAAGTATTTGCTCCATTTTTTATAAATGAAGCTTCAAGAAATGTAGACAGTAGGAGTGATGGTTAAGAATACAGTCTTTTGAAACAGTAATTATATGCTATTTCACCCCAGTCAGACTGGCAAACATAAAGTTTGAAAATACTTAGCGTTGGCAGGGATGTGAAGAAATGAACAATCTTATACTGTGTTGGAGGGAGTGTAATTTAGTACAGTCATTTTGGAGAGCAACTTGGCAATATCTAATAAAAGTTGAAGATGTCCCTGTCTTACAACCCGGGAATCCCAGAGCTAGCTCTGCTTCTTGGAGAAATGCTTACGCAAGTGCACAGACCCCCACACACAATGCCACATTCCGGGCTGTGCAACTTGTAACAGTGGAAAATGGGAGACAACCTACAGGTCCACCCAAAGGGGAATGGTGGAATACATTGTGTTCAATTTGTTACAGTACGCCAATTGAAGGAAAAGAACCAGAACTGTGGTTCCATAATTGAAAAACCTCAAAACCTTAATATTGAGTAAAGAAAGCAAAATTACAGAGGAATGTGTGCTCATGGCTCAGAGTGGAGCCATACTATTGACATCCAGGGGGTAGAGGCCAGAGATGCTGTTAAATGTCCTGCAATACACAAGACAGCCCTTCCAATACACATGTGCACACACACACACATACACACACACACACACACATACACACACACACACACAAAGAATTATTTGGCCCAAAATCTCAATAATGTTGAGGACGAGAAGCCAACCTATAGTCCAGGGTCACCAAAAACTTGATCCACATCTCTCAACTCCCAGAGAAGAGCTCATGCCCTTACAACATGTCGTGTTATTCGGCTTTGGCCTTCCTACAAAGCAGCTAGATAACTCATGGTGATATTGAACTTCCTTCCCACCAGTCAGCCTCATGCTAAAACTTAACATCTTACTGAGCAGAACTCCCAGACCTGTAGAGTTTTCACAAATCCTTCTTGCATAAATGAATGAGTCATCAATCAAACAATGAGGGCAAACTCTTAGATCATGAAGATCTGGTCTTTATTCGTGGCATGGCTTCCCTGGTTTCCCGTTCATTTGACATGAAGGCTTGTTTGGTTTTCATTGTCTTGTCTGAAGAGAATTACTAAACACCAAATGAGTGGAAAGTTCTCAGAGCCTCGCAGCTCATGTCAGAGGAGTCCTCTCATAATTCAGAGTCGGGCCTATTTGTTCATCTTGCAGCAGCCCTTGTCAAGACACATCTGGAAATTATGAAGACACAAACAGCTTTGGGTTAAACTGATAATGTTCGCAAGATGTAAAGTGAATTATTGACCTAAAAATGATGACACTTTTAATCTGGTTTGATTCTAGCACAGCTTGTGGAAAGCACTTCCTGTTCTTTTAATGAAGTGTCAGGAATATACACAGTTTCTTGCAATTCTTTTTGTTTTTTTTTTCAATACCCAGGAAAGAATTCAGGACCTTGCACTTGCAAGGCAGGTGCGGTGACCCTGAGCTAAATCCACGGCCCTCCTGTGATTCTTTACTTTTGCTTTATTGTAGGCACTGATTTGGTGAACCCAGCACTGCACACCCAGAGAACAACTTTGCGTTTCTGCTGTCATCTTCTTCACTGTAGATTTGGAGAAGGTAGGAAGAGCTCCTCTCTGAACTCATCTTTTCTAATGTTTGTTTTGGCAACACAGGTTCTCACCTGTTGTCTCAAGGGATATAAAAACGATGAAAATGATTGTTATTATAATTTGTATTATACTCATTATGCCATTAGATTATAATCCACACAAGTTCTGGTTTGCACTTATATGCATGTATTCCAACAGAACCGAGGAGAGGAAAGTCACCAAACAAAACAGTATAAGAAGTGCAAAAAGCATAGTGACTACTTGTGTCTTCTAGTTCTAACTTTATACTTGTAACTGACCAAATGACCTTGAGAGAGTTACTTCACCTCTCAGTTTCCTCATTACAAAATGAGAAATCTGGACTGGATTATTTTGAAGGTATTTTCCTGAACTTTTTAAGTTTTTCTCCCTTGTGAAGGTTAAAAACCATTGGTTTAAAGCAATGATTTCCAAAGTATGTTGGACTTTAGGGATCAGACTTGCCCCATTGGCTCAGTGGGATGATGGACTGAGAGTCCATCAGACTTTTCAAAGGATGGTCCCTCTTCATCACTGGAGTGATTGCTGAAAATGTAATTTCCCAATCCTCATTCCAGATTCATCAAGTTGAAACCTCTGGGGTTGGGAAGCATACATTTGCCTTTTTAATGCACTCCTGTAGGTGTTTGGGGTACACAGCTGTGTTTGAAAACCACCTTCTTAACCATAGGCAGCACTGTTCTGTTCTCATGAGCACTCGGTGCTGTGAGATACAACAATCTGGGTCTGTACCAAGCAGAAACTATCTGGACGTGCCTTCCATTTGTGGAAGAATTAGAAAGATCAGCATCTGATGGCTGTTTTACCTTGTGATTCGTGTCTCTGCCCATCCCCTCCAGCATAATCTTCCACTCAACACTTTGTCAGATCTGAATGTCTAGTGTAGGCTTCTTGGCTCTCCTTCCCTTGACTGTCTTTGGATGAGAGTGAAATTCTTCTGGAAATAGCCATAGAAGGATGGTATCTCTTAGATGTCATTCCAAAAGTGGATCATGTCAGTCCATGTCACTCCCTGTGATGTCACAGTCACCACCTTCTAACCTGCAATCTGCTTTGCTGTCAGTCTTTGGCTTGGAGGGTTTGGCTTTGCTCCCAAGGCGGGGTCATCACTATGAAATGACTAAGAGGATTTGGAGTCAGGTAAATCAGGTTATAGCCTGGTAGACTGTGTCCAGAGATCCCAAATCATGGCCAGAGCTCTGAGAATCAGAAAACCACTTAGACTGTATGGTCATATATTTCTGTTGCCAATTCAGGATTATGTGGCATTTCAGGGTTTCTAGGTTATGTGCCCTAAACCCTTAAGGATTCTCAGGGACCCCTAAAGAGACTTGTCTTAGAGGAAAACTAAATCCTAGCTTTGAAATATGAACAGTGACTCCTAGTACCGCCTACAGAGCCCCCCTGCTGTGATCAGTCTAATTGCTCTGTGGGGTGACTGTTACTCTTCTCCAGAGCTTCACCAGATATGATTTTCTGGCATCAAATAAAGGGAAATGGAGCCTTAAGAATATAGTGGACTGCTGTCTGCTTTGGATTGGATATAAACGTCTTCTCCCAAATCACAGGCAAGGCGTTATGTATGATCTGTCAAGGAAAATACTAACAAGTTCCCCTTCATGAAAGAGCCCTCACCCTTAAAGAGCATTCCAGACAACACCCACTGCTGGCTAGAGTTGGATGTGCGCTTTATTTGATTTGGAGTTGATTTATTTGTTTGTCTTGCTTCTAGAACAGCGTAACTTGGATTTAATGTCTTGAATACAGAATCCAATACTTCTAGGTTCACTGACTTGTTATTATTTAGCATTTATGAAGTATATGTCAATGCACTTGGCACTTTACAATGACTCATAAACAGGCACAATCCTGGCCGTGGAGCATGAGGTTGCTATCAGTTGAATTACTGCCAATGTGGAAAGATCACAGGACAGATTGAGATATCTTTTTCCCCAAAAAAACAACTCTGCATCCCAGTTCCTTATTCCATCTGAGTCCAAACAGAGGTGTGATGGCTGCTGCTACCATTTTGACATCAGTAGTTCAATGTTAGACATTCGACGTGTATTTCCTGTCACTTAGGAAAAGCTGAGCAAGCATGGATGGATGGAGGATGGATGGATGGATAACTCTCTCCTCAGTGGACATCTCCCATTTTCTATTTGTCCCTGCACTCAAAGCTTTATTTGTGCACCTTACGAACCATGTGATTATAGAGCTGGATGACTTAGAAGGAATTGATACCTAAGTGGCTTTTTGCAGTGAATATGAGATCAACATATCTATGAGGTGGACAGAGACATAATGAGAAACCACACATACCGGCAATATTATGTCAATGTCAATTTCTTAGTTTTAACATTGTCCTAGGAAGCTGGGTGAAGGGTCCAGAGGACTGACTCTCTCTACTATTTTTTATTTTTGTGAATCTGTAATTGTTTTAAAAAAGAATCACATGAACTTTAGCTTCACATATTCATAGTCATGTCTCACTGCCTACACCTTCCAGTCTCTAGGTCTTTTATAGATAGTAGCAATACCATGCATGTCAGTTCAAGACTCCCACAGAGCAAAAGCCAAAACAGAGTTAGATGTGAAAGGGGCTTATGGCAGGGAAACACTTGTAAATTATAAAGTGAGAGCGAACAGGAACGCCTTAAAAAGTACCATGGAATTCCAACACCAATAAAAGGAGCCCAGGGCTGGGCATGGTGGTGCATGGCTGTAATCCCAGCACTCAGGAAGCTGAGGCAGGAGGATCTCCATGAGTTCAAGGCAGGCCTGGGCTACATAGTGAGCTTGAGGCTAGTCTGAACTACATAAAAAGAGCCTGTCTCAAAACAAACAAACAAACAAATAAACAATGACCAAAAAATTGGATTTATTTTTTTAAAAATAAATAAAAGGAGCCTGGGAAGGGAGGATTACAGAAGGAAGAGCCTCAGACCACATGCAATGATAGAAATTCCAGCCAAACCACTAAGGAGTCCCTGAGCACGTTACCTGGTAGAGGGGTCCCACAGTGGAGTGGGGAAGCAATAGCTCAGTCATCGGCTGGAGCACCCTGGCCTGGAACAGATACTGCCTGGATCCAAAGGTGCAAAGACAACTGGGAGCTGCTGGACAGCTCTGCTTCCAGGCTAGGTCATCTTAAGGGGGATCTGAGTAAGACAGCTTCAAGTCCACCATCACTGTGCTGAGCATCTTTTTTCAGACCTTTCACTTCTCAACCAGTCCTTCAGTGACTTTAACCTTTTGTCCCTCTGTTGGCCTCATATTACAGCTTCCAAACCAGAGTGAATTCCATCTCCTGCTTCCTCCACGTGTCCGCTCCCGGCCTACCCAGGGCAGCATAAAGAAAGTCACTGGCCCAAGCCCGCTGGTCAGTCATATATGTGTGTTGTCCAGCTCGGGATGGCCCCGCTCCTCCTCCGCACATTTCACTTTGTCTCCCCTTGATCCTGTCATACTGCTCCCGGTGTTTATCGCAGCCTTCTTCCCCCTTCGTCACGCTGCTGTGCCGCACTGTGCACCCTCTGGATGTTTTCTGGGGATGGCCTGGCCTCATGAGTCCCTGAGTACTCCTCATCTCCCCTGCTCATCTGTAGCTGTCCTCTTCCTCCCCTTCCTTCTTTAAGTGTTAGAGAACAGTCATCCTCCCCCCATCCCCTCTTGCTACTCTCTCAGTTGCCTCCTGCCAGCCTGCATTGGTTACATTGTTTGCTCCTTTTCCCTTCATGCTCTTTCCTTCTCTGCGCCACTGGATTCATCCTCTTGGTTTCTGAACATTGTCTCCTTTATCAAAAGCTAAACTTTCTCTGTGTCCTTCTAGCCCCTTGAGCTGTCCTTACATATCTGTCATTGCTCTTCGTCACACATTTGGCACACATCTCCACACTTGCTGTGTGCTCCCCTTTCTCACCCATCATTGGCCTCTCCCTCCCTTTTCCCCCGGGGCTGTGGCAGCTGCTTTCTCGTGGTCCTTGTTGCTGAACCCAGCTTCTCCCCTTGGGTCTCATCTTCTGTGACCTCTTATCTCATCTCTCACCTGCCTCATTCTCCAAATCCTGTTCTCGCTCAGCTTCTAGGTCATGTGCCTCTTGGCTCCCCACCTGTCTCGCTCCCCTTATCCTTTCTGACTTGGGGGGGGGGGGTACCGGGGATCAAACTCCGGTCCTTGCGCTTGCGCAGCAGGCAGTGAAACCACTGAGCTAAATCCCCGGCCCCTTGACTTCTTAGTACTGTGTCTCAATATATGTGTCTGTCCAGATTCTGTCTTCCTCACTCCTGATGTGGCCACATGTTCTCTCCCTTCACTTTCTCATCCATTTTCCTGATTGTAACGCTTTGTGCTCTGTGGGCCCTCTTGATCCCAACTCTGACTTCCCTTTTAAATTCCCAGACAATGACCCAGTGCATTTTTCTAGAGAGTCATATTCTGGGGCTGTACCCCGCCCCCTGTATTCTCTTCTCCATCCAGCTTTCCTGCCTGTCTCAGTGTGACCCCTCAGTCTGTCAGTCATTTAGGTTGGCATCTTGCATTCAGTGTGACTGTCGCATCCATTGTCCTGGCTATTCTTCTCCCACCCTCCATTCCCAGGGTCACTACCCCAGCCCTAGACCTCACTACCTCCCCTGAGGGTTCCTATGAACACCTTTCCATTAGCCTCCTTCCAGACCACCATTCTCACTGATGACAATTTTATTTTCCTAAAAGCAAAGCTTTCATTATGTCCATTTTGTGCTGAAAACTTTTGATGGATCTACATTGGTTACTCAACCCTTTCCTGCCCAGCAGCTAAAAATAATCCCCTGCGAGCTAAACTGACATATTTTTTCTAAATGTTTTTCTTTTAGCACTTATTACTGACTGACTAATTTTCCTAGCTCTCCCATCTGTTTCCACTTGGAGTAATCATCTCCTCAGAAGGATGCAGAAGTAGAGCATCCTGGTGGGTTCTACTCTTAAACACAGGTCATGGTGTAACGGCTAAGAGTGAGGGTCTGATATTACCCTGCCTGGATTCAAATGTCATAGCCTTGGATGCATAATTTACTTCTCTGAGCCTCAGTTTGTCCGTCTATAAGATAGACTAATCATTATGCCATTATGTTGAATAAGGTACTGAGCCTAACAGGTGTGGAGCCAAGCATGGTGTCTAAGGGCCCTCCTGTGTGAGCTGTGGTGATCACCATCATCATTATTGTCACATGTGCAGCATGATGCTATTCACATCTTCATTATTCACTCTTTGGCAGGAAAGACTAACTTGGGAATTCTACACAACTAGTGGATTCATATCCTTAGTACTTCCACTAAGACTTCAGGCCAATAATTTTGGTACTTTAGATGACCTGTACTAGGTCCCAGAAGATCTTGAAACCACGAGTCTATAATTTTCTACTATAAAAGGAATTTTTTTTTGTTTTAACTATCTATAGTTAAATATAGCAGCTTCTACTACTGGATAAAAGGAAACCAAAACGAAGAAGGAAGGAAAATCTTGTTGACCCAGAAATCTCTGGCCCCCCACATGTGTGATGAGATATGTGGCTCAGATTAAAATGAGGCCAAAGATCTGTCAAAGACAGTAAAAGGTAAAACGTAGGAAGAAGGAAGAGGTTAAAAATGGGAATGGAGAAGAAGACAAAATTTGGAATAAAAAAATTGATTCTAACAAAGACATTAAAATAAGGGTTGAAACTGTACAGATGATTGTACAACATTTTTTAATTTAATTAATATTAAATTGTATATTTAAAATAGTTAAAGTGGGCCAGGGATTTAGCTCAGTGGTTTCGCCACCTGCTATGCAAGTGCAAAGACCTGAGTGCGATCCCCGGTACCAAAAAATAAAAATAAAATAAAATAGTTAAAGTGAAATTTTTATGTTCTACAAGTTTTATGATAAAAAATAAACACATGTACCCAAAACATGAATAGCTAGAAATAACAATTTTCAATATTTTTCAATATTTTTCAATATTTTATTTCAGAA